GTACGTTCCGGCAGTACCCCGGGGGACATAGACCCACTCAGCGACAGTGATGCTCATACTCATACTATCATAGTCATAGGGTCTATGTCCCCCAGGGTACTATTGCCGTATCGGAGGGTACCCTGGGTACGGTTCGATATATCGGAACGTACCCTGGTAAGTTAACTATCTGATATGGTTAGGGTTAGGGTTAGGGAGTAGGCGTAGGCGACTCCCTAGACTTGTTAGTGGAGTAGGCGAGGTACGGTTCGGCATATTAGATAGTACCAGGGTACGTTCCGATATATCGTACCGTACCCAGGGTACCCTCGGATAGTACCCTGGCGGACATAGACCCTCTCAGCGACAGTGACAGTGCCAGGCAGTGGCAAGAAGTAGTCTAGTCCAAGCTGACGCAGACCCCAGTAATGGGTTAAAGCCGCACTTTCAGATTAGCAAAGCGGTGTTATAACGTCTGCGTGCGGACAAGGAGTAGTCAGACTCGTACTCATAGTCATACTCACAGTATAGCATACATAGTTAGAATATATAATATAGCTTTCTTGGTAGTGGAACTGGTACATGAAATGGCACAGTGATTGCTTTATCTGGTTTAATTGTAGGTCTAGTAGTAGTACTATAGCCCGCGTACAATTGCTGCAGGGCTATAGAACATTTTATGCCTGGTTTCGTAACTGCACCTGTCCCCCAATGCTTCCACGAAAAATGGCTCACAAAACGCAGAATGATCGGGCTTTTTAATACTTATTTATCTACATCATGATCATAGTACATGGAATGCTGTTGTGTACACGCGTGACATCACCCGAAATGTAATAGGCTGCATCATAGCTGCCCATGTGTTTTGTCTACATTTCGGGTAACGTCACGCATGTACACAACAACATTTGAAAACTAAGCGCAAGTAGTGCTATAGCACTCTGAGGAATAAATGCATAAATACAGTTTGTAAAGTTGTGGAAAGTGTTCCAAAAGATAGGTGAGATGTCCATGTAGATAAATAAGTGTTAAAAAGCCCGATCATTCTGCGTTTTGTGAGCCATTTTTCGTGGAAGCATTGGAGGACAGGTGCAGCTACGAAACCTGGCATGAAATGTTCTATAGCCCTGCGGCAACATGCAGTACGCGGGCTATAGTACTATAGAGCTAGGTTAATTGTTACTCAACTGTGTTGATTGAAAACGTACTGCTGACGTTTCGCCTCCTATCAGGAGGAGGCTTTCTCAAAGCTGACTGAAGATTATCAGTTTTGACCACCAGATGGTGTAGTGGTCAACAGAGCTCTCTTGGTCCACACTAACTCCAAGAAACGGTCTTGCTAGGGTTAGAAAACCGTTTCAAACATTGGCTGCACAGCTAAACACATAGTTGTCGTATTTGCCAAGTATCGCCAAAGAACACTTCACATATGATATACCAAATGAATCAGTATACATCCACCTTCTTGTAACCATCAGTGCGCTACGATGCGCTTGTTACTTACGGGGTTACAGCGACTTTTTGAGACGAATGCAATCAAAATCATGAATTCGCCACTATTCTGTATCATTCCGACTGCGACTAAAATCCGCAATAGACCGAACAAGGGAAATTAAACAATCTGCGATCCTCCAGGGGTCGAAATTAGATTTTTATTATGGTACCTATTCGGGATACCAGGTATTGAAATCTGGTATCCCCCCCCAAAGATCTGGTATCCCATTTTTTGGATAGTAATTTCAACAATTGTTTGCCTTCAAAATTCTCATCGCTCGCATTCATTTTACATACGCTTCCACAGTACTGTAAACAGGAATGATGATATAAAGCCAAACTTGTTGTAGTAACCTGTATAACCTTTAATATCTTACGCACATCACATCTCCTTCCACACAGACAAAGAACGCGCACACGCGCATACGCGCGTGTGCCTCCTTCCGCGACCAGAACCAGAATCTCTCTCGACTCCTACATCATTATCCTATATATTCCCCCCAACTCTTACATCCTGCACGCACATGTACTGGTTCTCCCAGACCGCGTCCTACCCCCATTTCACAATGACCCTAGAAGCTGCCTAACCTAACCACGTTTACAATTCTCCCTAATACATCAATGAAGCCGCCACAAGCGACGCTCTGTCTAGCTAGACTATGACTAAAACAACTACTAGTCTAGCTCCACTGACTAATTCATGTAACACGTGCAAAACACATGTTACAGTACCGTACACTGCAGACGTATTGTCTAGATGCATTGTCTGGTTTACTTGATACAATGTATACACATCACATTTATGATCAACATCGGCTTCTTGCAACAATATCTTGCAAATATGCTATGCCTGCTGTATACGCTAGTGTGGCGTAAGGGTGCCTGAGCCCGCTCAGATCGCGCGCACTCGCTCAGATGCGCCGCCGTATAAAGTTGATAACTTAACAACCACTATCCCGATTTTGACGATTTTTTTTTTACTATCCCGGCAGGATACCAAGCATTGAAATCTGGTATCCAACACAAGAATCTACTATCCCGCGGATATCGGGATACCGCTAATTTCGACCCCTGGGGACCTCATGTAAACCAACCCTACATCCAAGAACGTCATCTAAGGTTTTTCCAAATTGCCCAGACATTTGTGAACATCGTTCCACATGCTTTGGTGTGTAATTGCCGTGAGAGCCATAGTGCAGCTATTGTACTATTTTTGTAGTATTTTCTAGCGAGTCTTTTCTGCTTCGGGTTTTCCGTGTCTCAATTGTTGAGCATGCATAGTGTAAACATGGCGGGTAAACACTCGTGGAATTTAGTTGATATGCTGTGAGAATTAGCAGATTATACCATGAATTAAGAGATACACTCTAGTTTAGGAGCACGGCAACTGTGAGTTAACGTTCATATTTTAAACAAGGCAAGTCAAAGGTGGTAATAGAATAGTTTTATTTGAGATATACAGAGTTATTCATCTAGATCTGCATAGGTGATAGGTTTTTTGTATGGAAGCGTGTCAGGCTGTAGGGCCCCTATAGACAATCAGTCGCACAGCCTCGTCGGGCTAGGTCCACACGTGACTGAGTCTGTATCCTCCCTCGTCACGGTTGATGATGTACGGGGTCTTGCGGATCCAGATGGCCTCCTTAATCCAACGCCTGATTTTGATTGGATTAGTAAATGCGGCTACCCCAATTGGGCACTCGAAAAAGTGTCCAAGGAGATGAACACTTCACGGGTCCAAACAACATCCCATAAGAAAACCTCCACTGAGAAACCGAAGGCGATTATTGTCCTACCATATGTCAGAGGCATCACAGACGTAGTTCAACGTCACCTAAAAAATGCAGGTGTGGCATCAACAGTTAGACCTTAAAAAGGCATTTGGTACACCCTAAGGACAGACTAGATATACACAACATTACAGACTGTCTACAAGATACCGTGTGCAATGTGTGAAAAAAGTTATATTGGAGAAACCGGCCGAAAATTTAAAACCCGACTTAAAAGTTAAAGAACATAAAAAGGACGTAGTAAGGAGTAGCTCCCAAATCTTTCACAAGGGCCTAACGAAAACAGTCGGCTAATGAAAACAACCAAATCCGCGATCATGGACCATGTAGCGAAGGACAATCACACCATCGATTGGGATAATTCGAAGATCATCGATCGCGAGCCAATCAAAATCAGGCGTTGGATTAAGGAGGCCATCTGGATCCGTAAGACCCCGAACATCAACCATGACGAGGGAGATACTGACTCGGTCACGTGTGGACCTAGCTGTTGACAGACCACTACACCATCTGGTGGTCAAAACTGGTCATCTTCAGTCAGCTTGGAGAAAGCCTCCTGATAGGAGGCGAAACGTCAGCAGTACGTTTTCAATCAACACGGTTGAGTAACAATTAACCCAGATAGATCTATTATTCTACCAACCGAATGAACTTATTGAGGCACAGTGATTATTGTATCCCCCGAACGAAGTTCGTGGGGATACTATGGGTTTGGCATCGTCGCGCCGCCGCCGCAGAGATTTCCTTGTGAACGCTCTACCGGCTGCAGTTCTTCTCGGATCATCTTCAAATTTCGCATGAAGGTGCCTTATCGTAAAGCGAAGACGCCAAACGCTTTTGGTTTGGGCGGAGTCATCGTTGCCATGGTAACAACATTTTTTGTCGAAATATTCTAGAACCTGTAACTTCTTCAGTTTTTAGCCGATTGTCATGAAATTTATATTTGTATTAAAATTCATATTTAAATTTATATTGAAATTAAAATTAAAAAATTAAAAAATTAAATTTAAATTAAATTTTTTTAATTTTTATTGTTATTAAAATTTGTTTTAATTTTAATTTATGATTGTCATACTATATATATATAACTATATATATATATTATAGGACATGTTATATTGGCCCTGTGTCCAAATTCCGTGACAATCGCGATTAAAAACAGCACAAGTTACAGGTTTTACAATATTTCCACAAAAATGTTGTTACCATGGCAATGATGACTCCGCCCACACCAAAAACGATTGGCGTCTTCGCTTTACCATAACTCACCTTCATGCCAAATTTGAAGATGATCCGACATCGGGTAAAAACTGCCCACCAGGTCACTGCGATCTTTATTTCACCTTTACTTTGACCTTGATCATATTTCCCTTCAGCTCTCTAACTCGGCCCCTAATTGACTAAGCGCGACCAAACTTGGTATGCTTACACATCTTGGTGAGAAGGTCTGTCGGATACCAAAACCACCACTGCCCTTGACCTTAGTTTGACCTTGACCGTGGACTTACATTTCCTCTTCGGCCTCCTAGGGTAACCAGATTCCATATACTTGCACATCTGAGGCACACCAGTTGTCTAACAAACCTTTGCCTTTGTCACTTATTTAACTTTACCTGCCTTCTACGTCCTTACACAGATATTCCATTCATACTAGATCACGGGGGATACATGTAGTTGGCGACAACTGCTCGTTTCTAGTTTATAGTGATAGTTATAAGTAGTGCTGCTGCAGTGATAATTGTATCAGACACAGAGTCAATCAGGTCAAACGTTGCATTTGGCATTTGCACATGCAAGTTCTTTATAACTATAAGCACGTTTTACATGCCAGTATTTCGGTGGTTTAATGCAACTTGTACTATCATATCTATGTGCAGGGGCGGATCCAGGGCTAAAGCTAGACAGTATTTTTTCAGATTTT